AAATAGGTCCTCCCAGATTGATCCAATCACCTCAGAATCAGTTGATCTGAGTCCATCAGACCTTCTCAGATCTGGATCCACAGTAGTCACTTCAGATCCAGGCATACCTGTCACTTCACTTGATCCGATCACTTCCTGTCCGTAATTTTTCGGAACCCACTTCACCACAATCGCCTCCTGTCTGTAGTCGTTGCTGCCAAACAGGATCACTGCACACACTTCTTCTTATTCCCCAATCGTCGCAGATCTCCAATACCCAGAATGTCCAACGCTCCAAGCCCCAGAGAATCCTCGAGTGGTGGATCACCAGGATCCGCCTTCGATCTCCACAGTACTTCACCGGTATGCTACGCGCCTCTTCTGACGTGAGGGGGAGCTCACGGCCGTTCTGGCGTTCCAGACCTTGCCCCGCGGCTCGGATCCGCCATCAGTGGAGCATCAAGATCGGCTAGACGACCTTCGGGACTACATCCAGGAGCAGGATTGAGTGATCTCCTTCATGCAACAGTCGATCAACGGTCTCCGGGCGGATCGGGATGCGCTTCAAGTTGCGCTTGACTCTAGCGCTCAAGTCGTCGATGATCCGAAGCCATCCGCCTCCCACGTTCACACCCTCGAAGGGCGAGTCGCAGATCTGGCGTCGCAAGTCACTCAACTGTTGCAAGAACGAGAACATGCCGGTGCGGAGATCCTGGATCTACAGGAGCAGCGCATTCGTTTATCCCTATATCCAGTAACCCATCCTCAGCTGCTTTCCTACGATCACCAGATATCTGGATACCTACCTTATCCATGTCCACCCATTCCACTTGATCCTGCATATCCCAGTCCACGGCAAGGCGTGGGTATGGGTATGTCGCCATCCATCATTCCAGGGGTCAATCTTGGGTTATCCGGAGTCAACATCACTCACCGGCGTTGCCGCACGCTGGATTTTGGAGAGGTGACTTGACGCCTTGGCTGGAGTGGGATTTCTGTCGCCTGGTCCGTCTCTATCTCGCGATCTGGCAGCCGAGGTTGCCTTTCTCGTGAGATTTTGTTCGCGCTTCACCACATCCGCCTCAGCCTGCAAGTTGGACCGTCCGGGTTCACTTCAGGTCTCATTCCACAATTCGCCGATTCGAGCGCACTCCTCTCCAACTTCCAGCCAGCCGTCCCCATGAGTCAGTCAGGCAGCGACCCCGGGAGTCCCCCGATACCGACTCCCCCCGACTATCCGCTGTCAACTGGGAGTAGCTGGTCGCGCCAGTCCACTATCTCGCGTCGCTCACGCTCCCACACCTCCGATCAGAGTCGGCGGTTAGCCACCTTGGAGGCCGAGCTTCGTCAGACCTCGCGCGGGATCGCCTCGTCCGGGATCGAGATCATCTTGATCTGCAAATCCGCTAGCTCCGATCCGACATCCGAGACATGGAAGCGTTCCAGCACGGGCAACGAGACGAGATCACCCACCTAGAGGGCGAGATTTGAATTCTCGCCCACTACGCAGATGACGATCCCGAAGGCCTCTGAACCCAAATTCTCCAAATTCGCACCGAGCGCAACGATTTCGAGCGTCATGCGATTTCCGCCCGTGAAGAGCTTCATCATGCTGAGGCAGATCGCGATCGTCTGCGTCTGGAGGCTACCCAGGCCGGGGACGAGATTCGGGACTTGCCGGAGCAGGTCCGCAGTTTGGAGCGCGAGACCGACGACGCGAGATCCGAATCTGTCACCGCTCTCGCCAACTACAACCAGATCTCCTCCAGCCTCACCCATCCACTACCAGATCGCGGAGGGGGATCTCCTCTTGAAGGTTCTACCCGTCTGTCCCAGGCAGACCGGGATCGCGGTTGGCAGATCTTGCACTCGCCCGCGCAACCCTGACGCAGGTTACCTCCGATCGTACCTCCGATCGAGATCGAGCCTTCACGCAAATCACCTAGGTCACTGAAGATCGAGATCGGGCTTATGTCGATCGCGACACGGCCCTCCAGAGGTGAGATCAAGCGATTGATGAACGCGATCAGGTCCGCTTGGACCTCCTCACCGAGGCTGCTCGAGCCGCCCAACTGGACGATGATCTCGAGATTGTTCGCCTGGAACTTCTGGGATGGGAGGGAGGACGGGATGGCGGATCTCCAGCTAGCCCACGACCAACTCGGCGAATTGCGAGAAGAGGACCTGCCTGAGGCCGATCTGCTCCTCACGCATCTCGCTAGCCGGATTCGAGAGGGCCAAGCGACCCGGATGCCGAAACGTGATCGAAGTCCGCCCAGTTCTCCTCCCCAATTACTGCCTCTCAAGACCCCCCGCGGCGGTCGGCCTACTTCTCCACCGACCGACCAAGATAATCCCGAGATCGAAGGCCCTGAGGGTGAGGAGCTCGAAGATAAGCGCGAGATCCCAGGCGGAGGTGGAAGTGATCCTGGCGATGACAATCTCCCTTCCTCAGAAAATGGATCTTCGACTCCCCCTTCCTCACCTCCCGGATCTCCTGGAGGAAGTCCAGGTGGTGGTTCCCCTGGTGGTGGCTCACCTCTCCAGCTGAATCCGCCATTGTTCCCTGCCGAGGCGAGTGTTCCCCTCCATTCCACGATCAAGATTTTCACGGCAGCCGAGACCACCGCGTGGGATCCAGCCATCGTGGGGTCCATACCGATGATCGCCATGATTCAGTCCACTTTGACCAAGAGGTTGCCGATCCCGCCCGGCTTCCTGTTTCCTGCTCGGACACCCTTTGTTCGGGCCACATATACCCAGGACCGGTTACCGTTCCGAGCTGATCACCGGCGCAAACGTGTTGGCCCTGATGGCTACGGAGCCGTGGCTCGAACTTCGACAGAACCGCCCCACTCCGCTGAGTTTTGATCACAACTTGCACCGGCGGGGTAACTCCTCTCTATGGCGGATCGCCGTGTCATATGCCGGCCTAGAGGAAGATTACCTGATAGCGTATTGGGAATCGGCCCATTACCTCGAGATCACGAAGGCGATGCTCACGTCGGACCCCGATCTCTTCATCTACCACCAGGATTGACGTCAGCGGCGCATCCGCATAGGAGATCGCTGGCGGAAACTATTGGGAGCGTGCCTCCCGATGATGAGAAGCCAGTTGGCCGATATCGACCTACTGCTGGACCCTTACTTCCTTTACCTACCGACGCCCCAGGATCGAGTGCGCTGGTATCCCGGATCCGTCTCCAGGGCGGCCAATCTCGCGCAGCCGACCGCAATCTTGCGCAGCCGACCGCGAATCTCCCTGAGCCGACCGACCCGCTCTTCCATCGCTGCAGATCCCTCGTCTCGCGAACAAATTCAACCCCCCTGCAGCTCCTTGATCCGTGGATCCCCCTTCACTCCGGGAAAAACCGTCGTGATCCCGCGATCAAGATTTCTTCTTCCTGTAGGCCCCGTAATCCACCAATCTCAACCATATCTTCTGCTCTTTTACTCTTTTCGTCGCTCCCTCTAAGTGATCTCTCTTCAGACTCAACGCCTTCCGTGATCTCTTGCGAAGATCGGCTGTTCCCATATGCACATATATAACATGAACTCCTGATCTCAGTCTTATCCGACTTGCACGTCCCCGGGGTCGAGACGATCAGACGATCAGACAATCGCACCCCGTCCTCCTTACATTTCCTCATACGATTGCATCACATTGAAACGGTTACGATTCACTCGTTCCCGCAGGAAGGCGATCAGTATCGCTCCGGAGTTGAGATCGGCTTCGTCGACCCTGGTCGGCTCGTCATATCCTGCCCAATGCACCAGAAATTCTCGGTAGATCCGACCGAATCGCGTTTTCTTCCCACTCCGCACATCCGAGATCCGTTCGACTTCGTACTCGCCGGCCCCGAGATCTGGGACCCAGCTATCTTCCGGAAGCAGGATCTCATCGAAGTCGAGGCGATCCGATTCGCTAACCGTGAGCTCAACTCGCGGCCGATCCTGAAAGTCCTTGACCAATTTTAGCTTCGATATGTGTACGACCGGGAAGATCTGGTACCCGGTGCCCGCGATCTCGAGCTTGAGGGTGAACTCGTTGATCTTTTCGGCGACACGGAACGTCCCATGCCACAGGTGAGCTAATTTCCGGGCGTATCCTTCTCTCACTCGGTTTAGATATAACCAAACTCGAGATCCGGCTTCGATCTGATGTGATCCGATGTCCTCATTATGTCGATTGGCCCGATCCGCGATGGCTTCTCTCAATCTGGCGTTGACTTGCTCCCGCGATTGCTGATAATGTCGTTGGACCTGATGACGCCACCGCCGCGCGTCACGATCGCGCCGTCTGGTGCATCCGACTGGAAGTGTAGCCTCCAACGTCGATGTCGGATCCCACCCATGCACCAAATAATGGGGGTATCCCCTCGGATCCGATCGTGGGCCGTGTTGATCGCGAAGGTAAATCGTTCAGCATATTCATCCCAATTCTTCTGATCCAGATCGCGAACGTACATCTTGAGCACCCTGGTCGCCGTCTGAACCATTCTTTCTGCGGTCCCGTTGGCTTGCGGACGATATGCCATCGTCGCTCGCTGCCGTTACCCTAGGATCTTCTTAAACGCCCGGAAGAAGTCAGACATGAACCCGGGTTCTCGATCATGCCGGATCATCTCGCTGGCACCGAATCGCCGAAATAAACACTCTTCGTACGATTCCGCGACCGTCTGGGCCGACCAGGACGAGCTAGCTTCTGCGATCACGTATCCTGTGAACAGATCGACCCAGATCAATAACTCAGTATTGCCCTTGTGGGATCTGGCCAGTGACGGTATGTGATCCATCACAATGATCTGGAACGGGTATGTCGCCTGCCAGTTCCCTGGTGATTCACCCCGGATCACAGCTTTTCCTTTCCCGTTTCGCGGTCCACGCAATCCCCCACATATCACTGAACGCTCCGATATAATCCTCTCCAATGGAAGTGATCCCTGATTCTCCTCCTTCCAACGTTGTGTGGTAGTGGTGTAAAACGTCCGACTGTAGCGTTTCGGGTACTACCAATCTCATCAATCGGTCACGATCGTCCCCCGATCTTGGCGTGGGGGGCAGTAAAAGAGTAGATCCTGCTCGTCTACCTCGTAGTCGGCCGCGATCTTGCCATACGATCTTGCTTCCGCTTGTGTGAGATCTGCGATTGAGCCACTCAGATACTCCTTCATGCCGGTGATCCAGACTTCTTCCTCTTGGGCCTGCTTGATCCGGTCGACTCGGATTTCGCGGATCAAACCCTCTTCCATGGCACCCACCGGTGATCTTGCTCGACCAGCTCGAATGGTCACCGCGGCAACTCGTACCACTGGGTTCTCGGTCTTAGGGATCAAGTTTTCGTCTAACCGGTTCTGGGTGACCAGATCTTGGTACCCGGGGGACTCCCGGACTTCGATCCCCCCTTGTCGTTGCAACGCGGTGCTCGCTAGACTGTCGGCACTTCCGTTCCAGTCCCTCTTGACATGCACCAACTCGTGATCATTCCATTTTCCCAGGAGATCGAGGGCTTTCCGCTTCAATAGCGTCAGTCCAGGTGCTTTGCAGTCGATCTCACCACGTACTTGTCGGATCACCAGGTTAGAATCCCCGCAGATCACCAGGCGTCTG